CTATGATGATGCCATTTATAATATGATTATTACTTTTTTTGGAGACTCTGTTTTGACCTATGTTGAATATGGAGGTGTTGTTGATTCAACAGTTTCAATTCGTTCATGCTTTTCAGATGGAAACATGGCAAAATATGTTCAATCAGAATTAGCAAATATTGTTGGAAATCCTGATGGACAAGTTCCTCTTGGTTATGCTCAATATCATAAGATTTCTCAATTGGATATTGCTGGAGGTAATCCTCAAGATGACAATATTCCAAGAAGAGTCCAATCCATCAGAACTAATCCAGTCCCAATCAAGTTCGAATCTTCTCCAATTTGGACAGTTTTCCCAGCAGGTAAGCTTTGTATTTTCAAATGTTTCAATATTATTGTTAACAAATTAAATTGTATGTTTAAATATAGGCACAAAGAGAGAAAATATGAAAACTGCCTATTATAATTATGTCAATTCAAAGAATAATATGGTTAATGACATGATTAATAGATTGAATTATCTCAGAGATTTGGAAGCTTTCACACCAACACCATTTGTTGGCTATTACAAGAAGAAGGCGTTCCACACTGAAATTGCCAGAGGACAAGTTGCAGGTGATAATCAGGCAGATGTTTCAGTTCTCAAATATTCTTACCTTGGTAAAAAATTTGCCTCAGTTCAAGGAAGAGCCATGTTAAGAATTTTCAGGCACAGAGATGATTCATTCCACATTCAATTGGATACTCGTTGTGATGCAACCAATAACTTCCCTGGATTTGAACCAGTTATTATTAATTCACCTGTTGTAAAGAATGCTTGTGCGACTATCGATGCACCACAAACACAAGCTAAAAAGATTGATGGTGAAATTGTTCTAGGTTATTCGTTCGATTTCAATCAACTGGTCGTTTGCCATGGATGTAATGCTGAATTGAAGATTGCAGGATTGGTTTTGGAATGTCCTGTTCCTGCTGCCAAGACATGTCCAATTGTTAAACAAGTTTAATAAATAGGTGTTTGACAACAAGGAATTGCACAATTTACTTGACTTTAACTCTCATAGCTTCCTTTCTTGCTTGTTTTTCAAATACCATTGTTTGTTTGAATCTGTGATGAGTATCTAGCATGAGAATGCAAATTTCAGCCCCAACATCATCAAAGAGTGAGTCGATCAAATGTTCATTTTGACCTGTTGCAAATAAATCCAAATGATTCTTAACCTTGTCGGACATGTGTTTGCTAAGGTTAACTGATTTGTCGCCTCTTACATCGAGATAATCAGTGTAAATTTCAAAAGCAATTTCATACTTTTTCTTTTCAATATCGTACAAGTCCTTTTCATGGTATTTCTTCTTCTTCTTTTTATCATTGTCACTGTTTTCACTTGATTCACTATCCAATAAATATC